GGGAATGTTGCAGCCGATGTTTTTTTTGGGAATATTGCAGCCAGTGCCGTCACCGTCTGCCGACGCAGCCCTGGGGATGGGAGGGGCCCAAATTCCAAGGAAAACACAATTTTATGGCACCGGGGGGGTTGGGGAGGGGATTTAGGGAGCTGAGGCCGGCCCGGAATTCCCGCAGAATCCCGGAATTTCAGCGATGACCGCATGGTTTGCCGGGAGATCCGGCGGAACTCGGCCGGGTGCCTGCGGATGAGGGACGAGTGCGAGCAGTGCCGGGAGATCCTGGCCCTCGGTGAGCCGGGAATGACGGGAATGACGGGAACAAGAACGGGAATAATGGGAATAATGGGAACGGGAATAACGGGAATAGTGGGAACAGGAATGGGAAAAACGGGAATAATGGGAAGAACGGGAATGGGAATTAACGGGAATAATGGGAACAAGAACGGGAATAATGGGAAGAACGGGAATGGGAATTAACGGGAATAATGGGAAGAACAAGAATGGGAATAATGGGAATGGGGATGGGAATAAAGGGAAGAATAGGAATGGGAATAATGGGAATAATGGGAATAACGGGAATAATGGGAATAACAGGAATAAAGGGAAGAACAGGAATGGGAATAATGGGAATAACGGGAATAATGGGAATAACAGGAATAAAGGGAAGAACAGGAATGGGAATAATGGGAACAAGAATGGGAATAATGGGAACAAGAATGGGAATAATGGGAACAAGAATGGGAATAATGGGGATAGGAATAATGGGAATGGGGATGGGAGTGGGAATAATGGCAATGGGAAATGGGGATAGAAAGGGGATGGGAACGGGAATGGGATGGGAATAATGGGAATGGGATTGGGATAGAATGGGACTGGGAAAGGAATGGGAATGTGTTTGGGATAGAGTCACAATTCGGGGTTTAGGATGCATGGGGTGGGGCTGGAGGGATTGGGGCTTTGGGATGCAAGGGCTCCATCCCGGGGATGATTTGGGGTCTATTCCGGGGATATTTTGGGGTCCATCCCTGGAGGAGTTTTGGGGTCCGTGCACTGGGGATGTTTTGGGCTCCATCCCGGGGATGATTTTGGTGTCCATCCCTGGGATGTTTTGATGTCCATTCCAGGGATATTTTGGGGTCCATCCCGGGGATGTTTTGGGGTCCATCCCGGGGATGATTTGGGGTCCAGCACTGTGTGAGGTGGGTTTGCCATGGGGGGAATGTTCTGGGGTACAAGGGTGGCCCAGCCATGGGAGTGCTTTGGGATGCAAGGGGGGCATTTTGGGGTCTGGAGGATGGATGGGACAGGACGGGAGGGATTAGAAAGGGATGGGATGGGATGATGGGATGGGATAATGGGATGGGATCGATGGGAGGAGCCCCCCAGGGCCGTGCTGACCCCATCCCTGTCCCAGACTGCGGGCAGGAGGATCCATCCCAGCAGGAGCTGCGGGAGCAGCTGGAGGACGCCGTGCGCGTGGCCGAGCGCTTCACGCGCCGCTACGATTCCCTGCTCCGGGAATTCCAGGAGGAAATGCTCAACACCTCGGGCCTCCTGGACCAGCTGAACCGCCAGTTCGGCTGGGTGTCCCGCCTGGCCAACTATTCCCTGGGATCCGACGGCTTCCTGCAGGTCACCACGGTGAGCCCGGCAGGGCTGGGGCCGGCGAGGGGCTGGGAACACCGAAAAGTGGGACAGGGACACAAAGAGCCCTTTGTGCTCCTGCCGGGAATCTCCTGGAGCCGGATGCGGCTCCGGGATGGGAGCCAAGGTCGGGGGGGGGCCCTCCTGGGGCTCTCCCGCGGCCGTTCCGGCCACCCAGCTCCGGATTATCCCGTGGGATGAGCCCGGTGCTGCCGTTCCAGGTGCTGTCCAAGACTCCGAATCCCGAGGATCCGTCGGCGGTGCCGGACACGCAGGTGACGGTGCAGCTCTTCGACTCGGAGCCGCTGGAGCTGACCGTGCCCGGGGACATCCCGTGGGACGATCCCAAATTCATGGATATTGTGGCCGAGCAGGCGCTCCAGCACTTCAAGGAAAACGCCATGTGAGTCCAGGACCTTCCCAAAAAAAAAAAAACCCCTGAGGGATAACTCCGGGCTCATCCCGGTTTTTTTTTTTCCCCCTCATTCCCAGAGAGTAGCCAGGCGATCTCGCTGATGCCGCCCCTCCGGATCCCCCTTCCAGGGGGGAATCGTCTCCATCGCTGGCACCTCTCCCCTCCTGACCCTTCCTGCTGCCAGAGCCCTCCGGGGCCCCAAACGGAAAATAAAGGTAGAGTTGAACATCCCTGGCTCTGCTTCCGGAGTTTTTGGGTCAATCCTGAGGGGAAAAGGAGGAAAAAACAGCCTCGGATCTGTCACCACGGAATGGTGGAAATGTAAAACCAGGCTCCGTTCCCAAATTTGATCCAACAGGAGCCCCCAGGATTCGAGGCCTGTCCCCATTCCTTGGGGACACAGATCCCGGTGCCCACCCCATGGACACAGATCCTTCTGGGAACACCTGTGCACAATCCTTGTCCTCTCTCATCCCTAAGAATTCCCACATTTCCACAGGATGAGCCCTGGATTTCCCCATGGAATGAGTCAGGGGCACTGGGGCTTTATTGGGAACACAAATTTGGGAGTGGGTGGATCCCGCTCCAGTCTCACCCCAATCCCATCCCAGTTTTTTTGGGAATGGGCTCCAGGAGATCTGGCTTTGGATCTGTATCCCACCGGGAAGAGCTGGAACAGCCTCTCCACCCATCTCTGACATTCCCTGCAGGGAGAATTCCCAGTTCCAATCCCTGGGATGAAGATCCCAAGGAACATCCACCCTTGTCACCATTCCCTGCTGGGACAATTCCCATTTCCAGGCTTCGGGATGCAGATCCCAGGGCACATTCCTGAGGGTAAATCCTGCTGGGAACATCCTGAGGGACAGTCCTTGTCCTTTCTCATCCCTAAGAATTCCTAAATTTTCACAGGATAACCCCCAGAGACCCCCACAGAATGAGTCGGGGGCACCAGGGCTTTATTGGGAACACAAATTTTGGAGTGTGTGGATCCTGCCCCAATCCCACCCCATCCCATCCCAATTTTTTGGGAATGGTGCAGAGGCTCTGGGAAATCCAGCTGTGGATCCGTATCCCACCGGCAAGAACCAGCACAGCCTCTCCACCCATCTCTGACATTCCCTGCAGGGAGAATTCCCAGTCCCAATTTTTGGGATGCAGATCCCAATGAACATTCCCAACCAGGATCGCTCAATCCTGGCTGACGGCGTCACCATCCGCGCTGAACAGCGCTTCCCTCTCCTCGCCATCCCCATTCCCGTTCCCGGTGCCGTTCCCGTTCCTGGTTCCCTTCCCATTCCCAGTTCTGTTCCCATTCCCGGTGCCATTCTCATTCCCGGTGC